TTGGCCACATTGGCCTTTTTGCAAAATAGGGCTATTTTCGCAAAGTGGCTTGTTTAATTGTGTTTGGAGAGACTTTAATCCACAATTAGCTATCTCCTTATTTTAAGGTCCGTCCTTCTTGAATTTGCATATCTTGCCACTTTTAGGCTGCGTCGGCCGTTCTTGCAAAGTGGGGCCATTTTTGCAAAAGCAGTTGTTAACCCATGTCTTAGAGTCCTAAGTCCACAACAAAGTGTCCTCTCTGTTTAAGGTCCATTCTATTGAACTTGCACGCTTAGCCATTTTTTTGGCCACATAGGCCATTTCTACAAAATGGGTCATTTCTGCAAAGTAATTTTTTCATGTCTTAGAGGTCACTTTTGTTGAGTTTGCACTTCTAACCACCTTTTGGACGCATAAGCCATTTTGCAAAATAGCCTCAATCATATCTTGCATGTGTCCAATAGGAAGTCTTATTGTCTCACATAGTGTTCTAAGTCTTTAACTCTATTTGGTCTTATTTTTCTCATACAAATGTGGATCTACTTACCAGAGATTGAGTATGACAGACGCTCAAGGACCCTCTTTGTCAGAACCGTTGCATGCAGGAGTTGCTTAAGGAGATTATATTTATTTATTTATTGAGTCTGTTTTTTGTTGTCTTGTACTTTATAGTCATGTTTAGTAGCATTGATTCTTTTAGTTGGTGTCAGAGTTTGTCGTAGTATAGTTGAGTTTTTCAAGTCTCTCCTTATCGTAAGACTTCCCCAGGGTTTATTGGTGGTACACCGACCCCTATGTTATTTTCTCCAAGACCTTCGTTATCATGAACATGTGCGTGTTGTGAGCTAGACATGTTTCGGCTTGAGAATAAAAAATTCTTGACAAGAAAAAGTGTAAAAACAACGTGTGTATTGAGAATCAGTAATGAAATAATCACTATTATCTTTAGCTCCAAGGTGGGCGCCAAATTGTGTACCTCGAAAATACGAGTAACAATTTAATTTGATTTGTGGTTTTAAAGATATGTGATTTAGTACTAATTAATAATCAAGAAATATAAAGTAGAAATGAAAGGAATAAGTGAACCAAACAAATGTTACTCAGCAGCGGTGACCTCGAGCTTAGTGACCTCGAGATGAACTAAGAGCAATAAAATAAGAACAATAAATGTAAAGGACAATGCTTATGAACAGTAAGAGAGAAAAGCAGGATAGTATATTCTTTGCCAATGATTAGATGGTCTTTACAAAATGATTGGGTCCCCTTTATATAGGAGGGGAGCCTTAAATAAGGTACATTTCTATTTACAGTAAGGAATCTTATTTGGATAGCTGTATAACCGCCTGGTACGGATTCGTACAAATCTATCCTAGAATTTATGCCGTGATTTTAGGGACGTGGTGAGAATCTTGTCCTTCTGTAACAAACTCATAACGGCTCTATCTCGAACTTGGCCATACTTGGATCCAATACCCTCGAACATTTAGGTTTTCGAGCCACTCATTCTGTCTTCGGTCTTTACCGAATTCAACCCTCGGTGCGGAGTCTCGAGCCTGCTAAATCGGGGGCACCTGATTTTGACCATATACAACATCCTACTCGTCCCTTAGCCCACATTACAACCATAAAAAAGTACTAATTGATTTTAGATCAAATGAGCCTACATTAGTAGAGATTTACATTATGGGCAAGCCTATGGTACCAATTGCATGCATGCGACTTCTTTGTGAGAGTGAGAGATTTTCTTTGATATATATGAGTCCTTAAATTATATTTGATCATGAGATTCGAATGTGTGGATTCAACTTACTCTCTTGTTCTTAGTTTGAGGGCACATGGTTTCATGAGGGATAGGTAACATTATTAGACTTCTCTCTATGATATTGGATGTTCAAGCTGAGTGCATTATGTTCTTAGTTTGAGGGCACATGGTTTCATGAGGGATAGGTAACATTATTAGACTTCTCTCTATGATATTGGATGTTCAAGCTGAGTGCATTATGTTCTTAGTTTGAGGGCACATGGTTTCATGAGGGATAGGTAACATTATTAGACTTCTCTCTATGATATTGGGTGTTCAAGCCATGAGTGCATTATGACATTGAGTTGGTTTTTGAGGCTAGGATTGTTATGAACATGTTGTCTTTGTTTGAATATTTTTGAAGTCGGCATAAGAAAAAGGGAAGTGTATGTGATTGCATATGCTAAGGTTTAATTGTTGCTATCAACCATGGTCATTGGTGTAGTGTGCCTCAATTATGTAAAAAAAAAAGTGCTCAAGGATAGTATGATTTGTTAGTTGACTCGAAGACGGACAAAGTTTAAGCGTGGGGTAGTGATGTTTGGCTATAATTACATATTTTCAGTGCATTACTTATCTTACATTTTGGTAATTTAATGCTAAATTATACTATATTTGTGCTTAATTGAGTTTATTTTATGTGTAGTTATATTGAAGACAAAATTTGAAGCAAAGTAAATATTTAATGTGTATTTTATGCACTATAACAAGGGGCCTTTGATTATTTGATGACAAAAAAAGAACAAATGAGGAAGAAAGAAGACAAATGAAACAAAATGCAAATAAGTGACAAAGAAGAAATAAAGAATTGAAAAGAAAGAATGCAAGATTTGAAAGTGGAACGAAGCTGTGAAATCGGAAAGAAGAAAGACAGAGCAACAGAATAAAAAATGTAAGAAAAAGTCAGGCGCAACAAGCAAACTAGAAGCGACAGAGTTGTGCGACGCGAGCAAGAAATAGAGCATGCGGCGCGAGCAGTTTAGCTCGCGATGGAGCTTGCGAGACACGGTCTATAGCGAGGGTGTTCCGGAATGTTAAAGCCTATTTTGTCTCCTATTTGATTTGGGACTTGGTTATTTCGTTTGGATCTTTACCCTATACATATAAATAGTCATTAAACACTATTTTAAGGGTGGGGACCAAATTTTAGACGGAGCGAGAGCACGGAGCTGCCGTGGAGGTCAAAATTCATCACATTCCATCTTTTCTTCCGCTAAACTTAGTAATTTTTATGTTTTTTTGTTTGATTTGTTGTTTTGCTACCATGCCTATGTGAAGCTAAACTTTACATTCTAGGGTTGTGGTTCTTTCATGACTATTGTTATTCAGATATTGATTTCGCCTTCTTGATTTATCATATTGGTTTATTTATTCAATCTTGCGCTTAATTATTTAATTGTTTGATCACCAATTGAATACTATCTACGAATCTAGAATTGAACTCGAAAGTGGGAATTATAGATTGCATATAGGATTGAGTTGAGCAAGTTCTTGAACCTGGGCATCAGGGAATGAATTCGTGGTTAGGATATACCTAATTGCCTTGCTTGGTTGATTTACAGAAATTATAAATGCGTTCTTGTTGATTCTAACTCCATAGACATATAGGCGTTAGGTTAGCTTGAATAGGCGACTAAGAACTCGACAGATTCTTATGAGCAATATTAACCATGTTAACCCATAAACTAAATAAATTAGTTGGTCAATTTAATTGAAGAATATAATAGGAATGTTAGATAGCCTATAACCCTAGATCGTTTTCATCACATTGATAACATAAAAATCCGTTTTTCCCTTGTCCAGAGTTCACTATTTATTTTCCTTTATTTTGATTAGTTTAGAATCGAATATTTCTAGGTTTAATTCTTGTTTAGATAATTAGGATAGTCAAATTTAGTTAATAGTTAATCACAAGTTCTCGTGGGTTCGACATCCGAGTTTTAGTCACTTTATTACTTGACGACCGCGTATACTTGCGTGTGCGTTTGGCTGCAACAATCATCAAGAATCACCTCTTAAACATGTCACGAATATCGCCCACCGTGAACCAGCGTGGCCTCGCCCCCTCGTTGCGGGTATCGTCGATTGAATCCTCGTGCTGAGACTGATTTCCTTGGGCCTCAACATTGTGTGTGATGTTGACACTGTTATCTGCCATTTTTATGATTATTGCTACGAACAAATAATCAAATGAGTTAGTAATAGATGCAAGGATCAACTCAATTACACAACTGTCTAAGCCCCATGGTGGGCGTCAAACTATTTACCCGTAAAACGGTATAGTTGAATATATACGTGGTTTATAGGTAATTGAATTAATTTGATCCCAAGATGATGAATAAATTAGACAAAAATATAAGACTTAGCCTTGATGAAGTTGAGATAAAACAACAGAAATCGTGATTCCGAGAGCAGGGCTTCTGGGGACAATAATAACAATATAAATGAGCAAGAAGATAGAATTGTATTGAGCCTTGAACAGAGTATAGTATATGTTTGGCAGAAAATTCATGTCCTTTACAATTATAATAGAGCTCACTATTTATAGTTTCACCTAGGGAACACGGCCCTAGGTTCAAGTCCCTCTTTAATGATAATTATGAGGGCCATTGACGAATGTGTAACGGCAAGCAGTGAATGACACATTCTCTGTAACGGACCATATATTTAATGCCGTAGAATATTCTCCATTAAATGCTACCGGGTGGTAGGCATTAATCTCGCCTTTATGAATATCATTCTCTCCGATAACAAACGAGATCGTTGCCTTCAGACTTGACTGTCTTGTGTCTTCGTCTTCACGTGTCACTTTCTCATGCGATCATTTAATATGAACATATTTTACCCTATACACTTTTATCTTCATGTGCATAACATTTTCAAGCATGATCTACTTGTCATTTTCAAATTTTGTTGGTGTACAAAATCATTATATTAAATATCTAATCTCTCGTAAAATTAATTGATATAAAATATGATTGTAAAAGCTGTTCTTTGTTGTCATGAAACCTTCAATAACAAAAATTGTCATACAACATGCTAAGTATCTCTACTCTTGTCAAATGTTAAGAGAGTAAACTTAGAATCTTATTTTCGATAATTTGCATGTAGGTTTGATGGAAGTGGTTTGCTCTCATTTCCTTTCTTTTAGGTCAAATTGACTTGGTCAAAAACTCTTTACAAGCGATTGGTAACGCAAAAATGAAAAAGAAAGCCAACGAATAAAGAATAAGTACATCCAAGCAACCCTTATTGCGAATCCCCTTATTGCATGCATTTTTCTCCTACCGTCCTGCGGAAAACCAACAAGTATGTTGAAACTGAACTCGGGTTCGGGCTATATACGCCCAGCGCATGATAGCATTTGGCCCCGTATGTTCTGGGTCCTTCCTCCAGCTCTCGTCTTTCTATATCATTCAGCGTCGCCCATTCACGACGAAGCCGGGTCGTTACCCTCAATCCCGTCGTGGCCGTTTTATCAGATCCAGAATCGTTTCGCTTTTGCTTCGCATTCACGCCCCTTTCGATAATTTTTCGTCGGTTTTGACTCGATCTGCTTGGGTTTTCAGGTATAGCGGATCTATTTAGACAATACAATACTAAAATTTTACGATTTTTTTTGAGTTTTCAGTGAATAACTGCTTTGTTTCGGTATTCCAGATCGATTCAGGTACTATATTTTCAATGTTTGTGAACTTTGTAGGTTTTTTGGATATTAATTAGTGGCAATTAGGGTTTCCTATTCTAGATTAAAAATTAGTTTTTCTTTTAATTATCATTTAAGGTCCTTCAGGCTCCAGTGGATCAAGAGTCAAGAAATTGGAAGCATTTACGTGTTCGATTTCCAATAATCTTAATTAGTAGTAAATAGAACTGTTGTGGTTCGGTTGCAATCAAGTTTTATTTTTCTAAAAGTAATTTGTTGAGTGTGGACTCAGAAACTCTAAAAATTTGGGTGCCACGAATAATTCACTTACTCTATTGCGGAGAAGGAGAAGAAGAAGAGAAACAGTGAAGGTTTGAAACGTTCAAATTCTCTATCAGTTCAATTTTTATATATAATAAGGTCTGATTTGTTTCAATATCTGATCTTTGACAGATGTTGATTGTTTTTGTCTTCGCTGATTAACTTAATTTGGTGTGCACCAGTTTGGTGGAATTTTTCTTTTTAATGTGTTATGGTGGAAAATGTTATAGGTTTTCCATTGTGTGCTTATCAGTATATCACTGGTGGTCATAACTTCACCTCCTTCTCTGATCAGGGATCTGCTTTTTGGTCTTCTGGTGAGTTATTGAGAATTTGTTTGGCTGATCCAGAACAACTATGCACGGATATGAAAGAGACGTAAGCTATTACTATATCTTTTTTAAATCCTTGCTTTTGCTTTGAAATTTTCATCTTCTGCTTTGATATGACATCTTTATTGTGTTCATTCAGGAGTATGAGGAGTTGGATGAATATGAGGAGGAAGGTGAAGAGCAAGAAGAGGACGAGGAGGGCGAAGAGGAATATGAGGAGGAAGAGCCTCAGCAGCCTCCACAAGAGTTGTTGGAGTACCTGGAGCTGAGACAACGACTGAAAGAAGATATCAGGAAACAGAGGAAGAAGGAATTAGGTTCTGTCAATGGCCGTTCAACTGAAATTAAGAAGGCTTTGCCGAGGGACAAGTGAGTGCCACTAGTGTGTTTCAGATTTTGGACATCCTTGTTTGTTTGTGGATATGTTACTTTGTGCTGGATTTTGAATTTATTCATTCTGTGTAATGAATATATGCTCATTTAGTCTGTTGCATATTTCTAAATATTAGCTGTGTTCTGTCTCATGCATGGAATTGTGCTTTTCAAAACCACATATATCAAATACATTTAAAAAAAACCCACATATGTCAAATACATTTTCAAAAAACCCGCATATGTCAAATGGATCTTTTGGGTGTCTATTTATGCATCTTCTTTGGAATATATGTCTTGTCCTCCCGCCACTCTAGTTTCAGTTGAAATTGTTCACTACTGGAGATTGATAAATATGATTTTCTTCCAAAATTCTGATTTCTGCATTCTAAAAATTACTATAATTATAATATTTTCTGTGTTTTCAATCTTCAAGGCGTAGTTGCACGAAATGTATGTCTTACCCTTTATAAAGATTTATTGGTGTATGCATCTAGAATAAAGTTAATTGATTTCAGTTTTGAAGCTTATGCTGTTGGTCTTATTTCCTGTTTCTTTCTCGGCACTTTCAGTTATGGTTCCTTCTTTGGACCTTCTCAGCCTGTAATCCCTCAAAGAGTAATCCAAGAAAGCAAGTTGCTATTGGAGAATCCAAATTTGGCAGCAAAAGTCCTGAAATCAAACCATGCTGTATGTATCAATTTTAATTCATATGAAGTTGTCTGTGCCTCAGTATATTTTTGTAGTTCTATGATTAATGAAGGTTTGCAAATCATCATCACCTTATAAGTCTTCTCTAGTAGTGTACACAATAAGACAACAGCTTTAGCTTCCCTTTCCACATTATGAAAAATTAGTAATATCAATATTGCATGGTTAATTATTGTCATCTTCACTGGAGCCAATAGACATTGAATGGCATATATACCTTTCCATTGATGTCAGGGCCTACGTTATATCTGTTACAGAGCGTTTTCTGTTCTTGCAGAACGATAGGAGCTCTGCATCAGAACGCGCAGGATCAAAATCTGGTACTAGCAGCCATGCACCAAAGGTCACTAATGGGGTACTGAATTAATTAGTGGAAATTAATGTACTCCTCTTAATTGTGTTTTACTACTGATTATGTACTCTCTGTATTTTCTGATGCTTCTTTTAAACAATTTTTTGCCATATCAATTTCTGCAGTTGAAAACAAAGGTCCAGATGTTAAAAAGTACAAGAGATTACTCATTTCTATTATCTGATGATGCTGAACTTCCTGCCTCCATCAAAAGGTTCTGTACCTCATAAAGACTCTGCCCCTTATTATGGTGTGCTTCCTATCATAGCTAATCTGGTTGTTTATTTAGTGGTTAAGGGCGTACGCCATACTGTATTTATTGAGAAAACTTATCCAGGTTTTTTGGTGATGTTGAAGATGCACGATTATCTTTACCACCAAGCAGCAAGCAATCTCTAAGCAATACGCGGAGAAAGCTGCTCAATGATCGTGAAGTACGTAAACCTATACCAGGAAGCAGCCAAATGCAACCAAAACTGTTGACTCAGAAATCAGTTTCTGTTAGTAAACAATCTCAACTAGCATTGGATTTGAGGAAACAGCTTAGTAGCAGTAAAGGGAGTGGGCCTGATCGGCCTTTGCGGCCAAAAGTGGTGCCTCCCAAAGTTATAGGGGTTCCAAATGGCAAGAGGGTTTCGACACCAGGCGTCAAGAGCACTGTGCCTGCTTTGCATAAGCCAACCCCTTCAAAGTTGCAACCTTCCATTCCAAGGCAGTCCTTAGCACAGAAAAAGGAACTGCTACAATCTGGAAAGTCAAAGGGGATATCAAATCAAGCTGTGCCTTCATCCAAATCTAAGTGGATGATGCAGAAACAGGCAATGCCGTCATCCAAATCTCAGGTCTTACCTATGTTTTCTTTTTTATGTTATCCATTTTATCTTTTCCTTGGGTTACAGAGAATGAAGGCCTACTTTCCCTCCGTTTTGGTTTTGGGTTGGGGGGTTTTCCAGTAGTAGTGATGATGGAGGACCTGCTGATCCAAATTTGTGATTTTAACAGATAAAGCAACTGCCTCCTAAAAGTGCAATTCGTTCTTTGGAAGATAGGTGCCCAGCAAGAAAACCAATGAGACATGATGAAGAAGGTGATGGAGCAGAAGCTATTAGTATGATTAGGAGGATGTTTGGGTACTTATCATTCCTTCCTTGTAAGTTTCTTTTAGTTGATTTTTTATCCTTTTGGGAAGGTTTGTTTGCAATATTTTTTTTGAAGCTCCAGCTTTAGAATTTCTGACATTGCTGGTTGCTTTAGAGTTGAGGGTTCGTGAGACCAGAAACTTTATAGTCTTGAAGGACTTTTTTTTTGTACAAGTGGATAAACTTCCTAGTGGAAACTGATCAGGTGAAATATTCACGTTCTCTAATCAGATTCTCTTGCGGTTGAGGAAACATACAAAAAAAAGTTGATTCAGATAAAACTTGTTCGATTGGTTCTTTATTTGATGTAGTTAAATTATATAAAATTGCACGGGAACCCTATTTGGTCGCCCCCATTTAACCTATACCTATTTTTTTTTAAACTTTTAACTTGTACTCACTTGTTGAAAAACTTCAGCTCCCCTTCTCCTCCTTCATTTTCTTTTTTCTTCTTCTACAATCTGATTCCATCGAATCCATACCTGCAACGGTTTTTACTTCTTAAACTCATCAAAGCCTTTGTTATTTTATGACCACTTGAATTTACGTGTTGTTTCAACTGCACATCTATTTAAATTATCAATGGATTGACTTAAGCACGGAAATATAATACATTTTCATACATTAATATAAAGAGTACGTAGCTTATTTTGTCGAAATATGAACTGGGGAGGAACTTTACAGTGTTTGCGTACTAGACTAGATATTGCAGGGCATACGTAAAGGTGAGGGAAAAAGAAAAACCAAAAAAAGGAAGGCAAATCCCTATGTGCAAAAACTTCAGCTCTAGAGCTGAAGTTTTTGTGTTGTAACTGGAAATTTCAGCTCTAGAGCTGAGCTGAACTTCAGGGCCGGCTACTAGAATGCTGAAGTTTTGCGTGATTGCTTTTGCTACTTCAGCCCCGTATGCTGAAGTTATGTAAAAAAGCGGGTACGCTTGCAATTTTTTTTGCAAAGCGGGCACAAGTTAAAATGTGACACAAAAAGCGGGTATAGATGCAAATGCCCCGTTAAATTAAGATCTGTGATAAACGGCAAGATGTTGCTAGCTTTGATAATGCCTAATGTTGAATTTCATCTCGTTCTGTTGGCTTGAGAAAGTTTCTGTCTTTTTTGCAGGTATAATCCCAACAGGTATCAAGATGATGATGATACTAGTGATATGGAGGCTAATTTTGATGACATACTGAGGGAAGAAAAGCGAAGGTTGGTGAAATTGTCTCATATTTCTATACTTGGCATCTATACCTACTTCCAACATTTGTTAGTGCATGCTGAGCGCCTAATTCACTTGATCTGCTAGTGTAAGCAATCCCACTCCCTCTGCTACTCCCATCTTCCCTTCAAGGGAATAAGCATGCACTTAATTCATTTGGCTAGAAGTTCAAATTCAAGGCTTCTCCTAGTTAGGCATTTCTTTTTTGTCTTTCTTTTTTTTTTTCCTCTTATTTTGCATTTCATATAGAGGGTCTAACATGCAGGGCAATGGGCATGACCTCATCACCTAGTTTTGACTACATGGGTGAAGTTGAGTGGAATACTGTTCTTTTTGCATATCCATTTGTTTTACTGTGATGTGAAGACAGTAAAAGACTGGAGACAGAAAAAGATGTGGAATACTGTTCTGGCTTTAAAATGAGATTTTTTTTTTGAATTTTTCTATACAAACTTTTCAAAACTTAACCAATGCTTATGGCTAGGAGTGGCAAAATGGGCGGGTCGGGCCGGATATGGTTCGGGTCGAAGGCGAGTAATGAAAAACGGATAAATTATCCGACCCGATCCATATTTAATACGGATAAAAAGCGGGTTAACCGGCCATATTATCCATGACTTCTTGCATATGATCACTTTTAGGAGACTTCTTAGTCTCCCTAACTTGATGAACCCCCAATATAAGGTTTTACAAATGTAAAAGTTAGACCCATTGGTTATCCATTTTCTAAATGGGTAATATGGTTCTTATCCATATTTGACCCGTTTTTAAAAAGTTTATTATCCAACCCATTTTTAGTGGATAATATGGGTGGTTAACTGTTTTTTTAACCATTTTGCCACCCCTACTTATTACTGGTGCTATGATGGGAAGCAGCAATTTTCGAGACTAGATATTTAGGTTAATCAATGTCTGTTCGCAATTTTGTGTTCCTGTTAGTACTTAATTTTGTGTTCCGCTTAATTTTTCTTGTCAAGATGAGTGCTTCAACGGTGTCTCCCCGCACAAGCAAGAGAAGGTGCTGAATGCTAACCTACTTTTAATTTGTTTTCCAGTGCAAAAATAGCAAGGAAAGAGGATGAGGAAGAACTTCGGAAGATAGAAGAAGAAGAAAGGAGGGAGCAGTTGAGAAAACAGGCAAAGAAGCGCAAGTTAAGTCATCATTGAAGGGAAAGATGGTTTTCCGTTGCTTGATAGATAGAAGAATTACAGAGGTTTTCATTTTTTGCTAGTTAGCCACAAAGTGAGGGGGCTTGTGGGGAATTTGTACATGAATATTGAGTCTCCGCTTAATTTACCAATTGATTTGTATCTATTGGTTGTATTGAGATTTGAGCGTTGCCGCTCATTGCCCAAGCAGTTGTAACATAATCTTTTTATCATTCTGCAGCTGCCATAATTTAATGCCCCTATTTGCTAAGCTAAATTTGAGAAAATTCTTGGGGTACATGGTAAACCTTTTGAATTAGTTGCTGTACATTATATTTTGCCGTAACTTCACTTGTGCTGATTTGGATTATTTGTTGTCAAATTGTCAAAATTTGAACGGTGATACAATGAATTTGTATGGACTAATGCTAATCCACTTGGACACCCAGTAATTTAATTTAGGAATTAGGACTTAGGAGTTGCCATCAAAATTTCGCAAGTGACAGTTATGGCGGGCGGTTTAAGCAGTTAAGAGAAGGACTTTTTGGTCATTTTAAACGTCATCTGCTATGTTGGAGCAAAATCACGTGACACTTCCACTCTACAAACTAGCAAAATCCCCGCTCCATTCCTTTTTATCCTAGCTATTCACGTCTCTCTCTGTCACAGTCGTACACAATCTTCGCTACTGGACAATGATCACGGAGATGCTTTCCAGTTTATCGATCGCTAAAACTCCTCCTCCTCCTCTTCTCATGTTCTCCCCGGCTAACGGCAAACCTTTCCGAGCTTCGGTTATCTGTTGCGTCGGGTAATATTCTTTACTAGTATAACTCATTTGGCTACCTTCTGATTCTATTTCTTCCTCTTAATTGTTGCCTCTTTAAGCCATCCATTTGCTTGCTTGTCTTCAAATTGCAAAATTTGCTATTCCTGATAGTTTATAACAGAGACTCTCTCTCTCTATATATATATATTTCCGCACTAGCTGGGAGGAGCACTTCATGGTAAGCCCTTTCCGGATATTGTCAAAGCAAATTGGGTTTCAAAGAACTGCGAAGCATGTGGTTGAAACGGTCCAGAGTAGTATTCAGGATTTTAATACCATGGGTGCACAATTATCTTTAACATAGATGTTTGGTTCTATTATATAAAATTTTATGGTGACGGCAAGTTGACGAGCAAATTATATTAATACTATATTCGCAAAAAATATTATTCACTTTACAATTGTCCTCAACGAGTTTTTATACTTTGAAAAAGGTCAACAATAACATCATTACTTATAGTTTCAGATATCTCACGTGCTATATAACAAACTAAACAATCATTCAAAGAAGTTTTTAAAAGCAACACTTAATGTGGTTTTGCTGCTTTGAATCCACAGATAGCCTTAGAGATGAGAGAGACGAGTCACGAGTACTTTGTTTTTAGGGATTTCAAAGTTTTTGTACTCAAAAGAATGATTAAGAGAAGAAAAATAAAAAGATGTAGGCAAAAGGGAATTTTAAAAAGAAGAAGTAGAAAAACGTATTTGCTTGTTAATTGGAAAGAAGGAAAAGGAGGGATCTGTTGTTAATTGAAAAGGGCATGGTGAATTTATTTATTAATTAATTATAAAAGGTATTAATCAAAAAGAATTGTAGGACCTTGGGAACAAAAATGAGTTAAGAGGGGCACTTAGTCACCAATGCACTAAACGAATCAGTTGAGCATGAGTGACCACAAATATATTTACACACATAATTAAAAAAATTAGTACTTTATACATGACCTAGGGAGGGGAGCATGGGTTCATGTACCCACCCCCTCCACATAAATCCGCCCCTGTTGACTACAGATATATGATTGTAGGTAAATTGGGTCATGTTATTGGTAAAGGATTGGTGGGGAGCCATTTATTTGTCATGCAGGTAAACTGCTCTTGACAACTGTGCTTTGCTGGCCTAGTTATCCATGTTCAATGATAGATTGACTGAATATTAATTACTATGCTTTTTTAGTTCCACCACCTACTCCAAGCAAAGCCATCCCTTATGTTTATTTTGTTGTCAAAACATATGGTAGAGGGGTGTCAGAGATACATGGGTGGAGCGATTCAAGAGCTTCACGTTTGAGTGAATCCCATAAGCCAGTGATCATAAACTCAATTGTTGCAAACTGCTGGAGATCTTAAACATTCTAGAAATTGTGTTCTAATTAAATGCTGTGTAGGTGTTGCATGCCCTCATCTTTGTTCATCTTGCGCATAATGGGCAAAAGATAAGACGTGCCAATTACCCGATGTAATAACTCAACCTTTGTAGGTGGGAGGCCCTATATGGTGGCTTGCTCCCTGAGACTTTTTGAGTTGCCTTGGCGTTACGGAGTACCTCATTTAAATATTAAATCAAAAGGCGGGCAAAAGGACAGACTGTTCTTCCACTTCAAGACACCAACGTTTCTTCATTTAATGGGCTGAATTTTTTTTTTTTGTTTGACTTATTTCAGGAAAAATGCAGAGAGAAATGGCTCAACTAGTGGACCTTTCCAGCTGGAGTGAGCACTAATCCATCCTTCTCCCCTCGCATCTAAGTTAGCATTTCTGTGTGACGAAAGTTTTTCCCTTTAATGTAATTAACTAAATTACTACATTGTTTTCAACCTAGGTTGGGGAACCACAGTAGTGATGAGGTACTGCAGCGTTCTTACTTCCATTGCTTCAATCTTGCTTTACTACGTGTTTCCATCCATTGCAATATATTCATGTACTTTTTTATAGAATATTCCACAAATGAAGAGTGCTGAATTAGAAGAGAAAGGTAGTGACATTTGGCAACTTTTTAGAGAAGCTCAACAGAGTAAGTTATTGTTGATGTACTTTGTTTGTCCTAGTTTACTTAGACCTGTGTTAACACACCTTTTTTTACTGAATGGCTTCCATCTAGATATCTTGTACTTGAACAAACAACGCATCATGGCTATGGAAGAGCTTGATAGAGTAAAAAGAGAGAAAAGTTCATTGCTTGATCAGATCGAGCAACTAGAGAGAACAAAGCTGATTAATACAAGAAAAGGTAGTGGTACAATTCTTGCAATCTTCTTGTATCTTTTGCAGGACCAATCAGAGAGTTTCCTTCAATGTAAAATCCAAAGATATCCTACACGTGAACAGCCAAGAAACCCACAAAGGACGCCAAGGGCATACCTAAAAATAAGATGAGCAATCTCAGTCAATGAGACCATATTATTAAAAAAGCACAATAATGCTACCAACTTAACCAATGACACATGCTGACACACAAAGTACTCAAAATAACCCCACCTAAGCGGCCAAAGAGACTATTTAGCGCATCAAAGGGATTACCACAAAACAAAAGGGCAAATTCAGTCAATCAACTACCCAAAATGTCAGCTCCGGTAGAACCATCAATTGACCAATGAGCTTATCTCCACAATTTTATGTTCAAGATTTAGCCTCAGATAGATGAACCAAAAAGAGCTTTTGAGCTCACACTTCTATATGGTAGTAAAATGGAAGACAAAACTCCCTCAACTTAACACCAAATGAGACTAAATATTCTAGTTTCCCACTCTTTAGGAAAAAGAAATTATACTTTTCCACTTCAGAAAATGTGTTGTTTAAGTATCAATATTGAGAATTTTAAGGTTAAGGTGAGCCAAGGATATAGAGGAAGAATATTTAGGTTAATCATGTTGAAAATGTATGAATTGTTGAAATACATTTTGGTCTCTTTTGATACTTCACAAGCGCTAGATTTAGGTTGGTCTAGGATATGTAATCTTATGTCATATCTCCCTAACTTTGAAAAGTTTGTGGCTTGTTATCCATTTCTCTTTTCAATACGAGACTAGTGTCTATAATAGTTTAAAAAAGAGGAATGTCCAAATGCCATTTAGGACATAGAAAGTGATTCCTGTTACATGCTCTAGATTGTAGAGATAATGGTCAGTCTCCGACTTATATGCATTTACTTAGCCGGTTTCTTGTTCTTTTGGTATCTTCTCGTTCTGTTCTATCCTAATATATTTTGACGATTCTTGTTACATGTTCTGGAGAGTGTGTATGTAATAAAACTAAGAGCTCATTGTTGGTTCCATGAAACAGATAAGTTCTCAATCTCTGCTGAGTTACTTCTAAGGATAGACTCTATGGTTCTTAGCAGTTTGATTGATAGCAAGGAGGCATCAGACTTTAGAAGGCTGGTCATGGATTCAAAAGTCAGTATAGTTGATTATTTCTCTGATATAATGCATAAACAGGATACCAGGCTTCTGGTAGAGCTGCGTCACTTCTCCGGGAAAAGTAGAACGTAAGTTTTCAATGATGTGTTTCTCCAATGTGGTGACTATTTTCTGAAGATATGACTTTAGAAGCAAAACATTGAGAAGTTTAATGGGTTCAGAAGTTTCTATTTTACAATTTTCACCAAAATACTTCATTGCTTGATTTCCTTTTTGGATTAGTTTAGTTCATGTAATCCATTTATTGTTAAAATTGTCTTAATCATAAAGGTGATACTGACCTGAAATTTTGGGTGATATGGATATAACGAAGATGTTGCAGGGGTGAATGAATTGGAACTTTTCTTCTGGTATATGGTTTGAATCAGCTTGTTCCCACCCCAATGCTGTCAGTTAGAGGTTTTACTATATACTGTAGGTTCCCAAGTAGTGTGCAGTAGTGCTATAATAACTGAGTTTTCTGGGCTTCATCTGTTCTTTTTATACTGATTTCAGGTCAGGCTACCACATAATCCACATTTGTACTGAAATGGCACCAGTGGTCTCAGTTGGATCTTTGGCACAATATGTAACCGGCTTATCTTGTGCCTTGCAAAGAAACGGAAATCTGGTTGAGATTATCTTACCCAAGTAATCAAGAATATTTATTTTCCACTCTCATTTTTGGTTGGCTTACGATGAAAGGTTGCACCTGGGACATCTTTATTTATGCTTTCTTGAACTATCATCTCAAGAGGGGCAATAAGAAACTATATAAATTCAGATATAGATAAAAAGAGATGGTATAAATACTCTATTTAAAGGAAATAATGATCTACTTTGGTTATCTTATTTTTTAGAAGGCAATTCTAACTAGTTCCACAAGTTACTTAAAGTTGCTCTCTGCTAAGTTCTAGGGGAAGTAACACTCTGTGTTCATATTGGATCTCTTTACACCAATTTGCAAGACATATATTAGTTTAGTGTACGTCAGCTTCTATGCAATGTGTGTCTATACATAGTTGGAGTCCTCATTCATATATTATCTTGTGCCTACTGCCTCTTCGTGTTTACTCTGTTTTAATCATGAGTGAAATTAATTAAAAATCTGCTGAATAAATTTTGTACAGGTATGCTAGCCTAAACTTAAATGAAGTTCATGGGTTACGAGAAGTAGAAGCGGAGTTTTTTTCATACTTTAATGGTCAAATGCATAGTAACAGAATCTGGACTGGGTGAGTTTCTGCTTACTGTGTTATAAAGTCAAAACAAATATTTGGTCTATTTTCCTTTCTGGGGCTAGGCTGGTTGTCAGGGAACTGGAAGAACATGGATATTTAAAGTTGGGGAGTGAGCAGTTGTTCTCTACACTATATCACACTGTTTATATCAATCTTGATCCTGATGCTGACAGCAGTTACCTTGTGTTCTTTGTTATACAGGGTTGTCTATGGCATTGGAGTGACTTTTATAGAACCTCTCTACTATTCATCATTTTTCAGCCGCGAGAAAGTATATGGTTACTCAAATGATTTTGAACGGTTTGTAAATTCTTTGAAGATTACCTTGCAATTGAATGAAGTAGGATCAGAATTTCATACTTCTTATTGTCTCCCCTTCTTAAACATTTGCCATCTTAAAGCCTTTTCCTCTAATTATGTACTTTCCCCATTCTTCTTATAGCTTATCCCAACTGGTTTTGGTTGATGCATATTTGATTGATTGATTAATGAGTACTTCCCCATCTCTGCAAGAGGGCCATTTGATGCTCAACTATTGCCTTTTGTTTCTGTTTTTTTTTTAAATTTATAAATATTGAAAGGATCTTATTTATGCATGCCTTCAACTTAGTATGTTCTTATACATTATCTTTATATCTGTCTTATGAAGTATATGTCTGATTTGGAATACTCTCTTTATATCAAATGTAATTAGAACTTGAAAGCGTCTCAGACAGGCCTTTCAGTTGGATTGCTTCATGATATTGTTGGTCAACTCTTATTATGAGTTCTTATTTTTGGTTAACAGTGCTTGACTCTAACTGGAAAGAACTTTAAATAACCAACATACTCCAGACACCAGTTGTTTGTTTAATATCTTATATTAATTTAAACACAATACTTCCAGCATTTTATAGTTTTGCTGACTCCTAAAATGTTGTATGAATCTCAATTGGCTGCCTTTGCAACTTCTCCTGCTTCCCGCTTGTCTAAACGACACAGATTTAGACAAGTAGGGCAAATCCATATTGAACTTATGTTGAAAAGATGGTTACACTACTCTTTGTAAACCAAAATCTTGGCAGTGTATTGACGAGAAGACGGTTGGAACAGTTGATCATGCTAAAGAAGAGATTTATTTTCTGTATAACTGCTTAGCTGGCATTTATGAAATCTTTCTAAGATCTTCTAAGAATAGTAACATCCAGGATGATGGAATACGCAGTGAAATGTGGTCAAGGTCCAATCAGATTTTCCGCGCCTCTACCCTTCTATTCTTTGCATCAAGATCCAATCTGGTGTGTTAATGCTAAGTAATGGGGATATCAATTTAGCTCTTTTTAAGTTCCTGGTATATTTGTTTGTTGTTTAGAGCTGAACTCAGGTAGAAAATGACTTGTCTCTGTACAGTTGTTTAATTTTGCTGAACTTCTTTGTACTTTTTATCCAAAAACAAGCTTCGAACTGCTTGAGGCTAGCTTTTGAATACTTTTCATTTTCACTAGACTGGATATGTTGAGACCCTATCATGATAAACTTAGACTAGATTCTACTGTCTCTACTGAATTGCTCTTTATTCAACAAGATATAATTCCTGGACCGTTGCTTAAATTGTTCTTTGGATAATTCTCATGGGGATAGGAGTAAATGAGACCAAAGCTGCAAATAAGGTACCACGACTTTGTGAGATACCACGTTCATCACAGCATTGTCCACATTGTATGACAATCAAAGACTTGAGGACCATATTGGGAATAAATTACCGTTTGGATGGTTGTTTGTTCAAGCATAGGTGTATATATGTATATNCTGCAGCTGGCCAGCTGGTTGAAGAAGTTACTAAGTCACTTGTATTTGAGTGTTGGTGGTGTTTGTATAGTTTTGTGAATTGTGATCTGTTCTGCCTGCATGCGCTTAAAACTTTTGGTGGTGTTTCTTTAGTTCGTCTGTTGTCGAGTAGTGACATGTATTTTCATGATTTCCTCTAAAATCTACTTGATGGCAGATTCACCTACTTCTCTCGCGCTTCATTGGATTATATAGTTAAAGCAGGAAAGCAGCCCGATGTGCTTCATATACACAACTGGGAAACATCTATTGTTGGTCCACTGTTTTGGGACGTTTTTGTAGATCAGGTTCACTTCCTAGCATTTGCATTCATCAATGATAAACTTCTCACTTCATGTTTTCTAAGATAGATCTGGCATCACTCTGTTTCTCTTCAACGTGGATATTTTTGATTGCATTATTCCTTTCTGAATGTTCCCCTGGCCTTATTGTTCAAAAGGGCAATTGACACGAAGAAACTACAAATTTTTTGGTGGTAATTTTGATGGGTCTGGTTATCTCTTTCTTCGGTAAATATCAACTAAAATGGGTTACTCCACGTACATGCAACTGAATTTTATTCTTATATGGTTCAATTGACTAGTTCTCCTCTGAATGATGTACTTACCTGTTTTATATCTAAGGCACAAACTATGGCGATTGATCCTTCTGTTAAAATTTTCTTCCTCTCTGCATTGTGGCTAATGCTTTCTTCCTTCTTGAATGTACAGGGACTTGGAGATACCAGGATAATGTTGACATGTCAAAGCTTCGAGTCTCAGGCAAGAGCCCCCATTATGTGTTCGTTGACTATTCTACTCTTATAATTTCTTTGAAGTGTACCAAGTCTCTTGACAATCTCAGAAGGTCATATGTGACAGTGTGTAGAGCAACCTGAGAAGTTAGCCCTATGTGGACTTGATCCTCACAGATTACATCGTTCTGATCGTCTGCAAGATAACAACAAGTCCCATCTTGTCAATGTTTTGAAGGTATTTGATGCTTTCTGACTTCTTGACTGTTTGTCACCATTGGATGCTTTAATGCAGTTACCGGACGTCATTTGGTCAATTAGCGGAATGTCTGTGTTTGCATTAGAAGGGCTTCCTGACTCATATTTAAATGCACATGATTTTCAGATAGACTTTTGAACCTGAAAGTAGGCACCATGAACTCTCCATCCACACTTTTCATTTATATTTGCCTTTGAAGACTAGAAGTCATGTTTTTTGCCTTTTCCTCGTTCAATACATTATATCCAGATAAACTTGAGCTTGTCTAGCCTGCATCATATAACATTTTGCTCCTTTTTTGTCTTCGTCCAGGCTGGGGTTGTTTACTCCAATAAAGTTATTATAATGGCATCCATGCAAACAAAAGGGCAGATAATTCATGCTATGAGTCATGGTCTGGAACCCACCTTAACCATACACAAGTACGTGTTCCTCTCAACGTTTTACAGTTAGGACCACTACGATTTCGGATTCTTTTGCAAGTCTTTATTCTCTGCTAGAGACTCCGGAGATGTTTTTACTTGCTGCAACATATTAGTAGTCTCTCAGGTTTATTTTTCCTCTGATGTTTATGGTACTGCATTTCATTTGCTAATTCATTTGATTGTAGGGACAAGCTACTAGTTGCTCCTGGATTTGATAGTTCAGCTTGGGATCCTTCAGCGGATAAGTTTCTTCCTCAAAACTATAGTGCAGATAATATGAAGGGGAAATCTGTCTGCAAAGTCTCGTTGCAGCAGCACCTGGGGTTGCAGGATCAGGCATCCATTATTCTTGTAAGTGTTACTCTTATTGAAGATTTACCAGCAAAAGTCTGTAACCAAACACTAGAGATANGGAAATTTGAACAGACATTTTCTTCACTTTATACTGATGATTTTAGTTTCATGTAGTACATGAATGACATTGAGCTGTGCTTTACCTAAGGAATATAGAGGTGTCCTTAATAGAATTTGATGAAAATGTCTGCTTTGCTGCTTGATATTATCCCTTACTCTATTGAATGTCTATTAGGAACTTCTAAAGCTGAATTTTCTTTTTGAAAGTTATGGTTCCTCTTGGTAGGTTTCCCTAGGTATTATTCCGTGGAAGATCGATGACACGCAATTTGATGTGCCCCTCTTTTGCTCTCTCTGAAATCCCTTATAGATTCTTGATTATAACTTGTTTTGTTTTTGCAGAAGGCTTCCATCTACTGTAGTGTGTCCAGATGAGGACACTATTGTTGTTGTTCAATTTTAATATTGTGCTCCAAAAATGTATCAGCATATGTTTAGCTTACTAATGATGTATCTTCAGGTAGGATGCATCTTCTCAGACATCTCTGATGTTGAACTAGAAAACCTCAAGACGCTTATTTGGATGGCTTCAAGGAGGGGTGTTCAGGTCGTTTCTTCTGAATATGCTTTGTGTGCTTTTCTCAAATAAACTAAATTCTTGTACTTTTTTTCCTAGTACTTCTTATTTTTATTTATATTTCCTACAATATTGGCCTGAGGTGAATTTAAATGGAGAAAATGGTCATTGAGGATTCATATAGCCGATCCCAAGTTGGGACTGACGCGTAGTTGTTGTTGCTTTTCTCAAATAAATCATGGTTCTATGTATGTCTGTCTGCTGATATCATAGCTAAACAACAACAACAACAACAACGAATCCAGTGTAATCCCATAAATGGGGTCTGGGGAGGGTAGTGTGCACAGACTTTACCCCTACCTTATAAAGATAGAGAAGTTGTTTCCGATGAACCCTCAGTTCAAGGAACAATGGAGATAAGGCAACAAGTAGCAAACAATAGTAACAACAATATATTAAGGTAACGGGCACGAATGACACAACATGTAATAGTAAAGAATCATGAATCTTGTAGTAGCTGCTGATATCGTAGCTAGCTGATGATTTTTTCGGGGAGTTTTATGTCACAAATTTTTATATCTGTTATTTTGCTCTTCCTTCGGAGTTTGTTAAACCAATGAGAATTTCAATTGGATGTGCAGTTTGTCTTCATGGGCTCGGGTCAAACTCCTGGTTTAAATAAGGCATTGGAATATTTTGAGGAGGAACTCAAGGTAATTGCATCCTTCTTTTGTCAGAGTATATTTGTGCCTCACCCTGCCTGTAATACGTATATCATTATCAGTATCTGTGATTGGAAAACTGAAAAGAACTTAGCTAGCTACTTTTAGTAGAATGAGACAATTAGGTCGTCTGGTAGCAGAAGTGTCAACCATGAACTCCTAACCGACCACCCAAGCTTTATCCTAATGGAACTTTGTCATTGTCCTTCTACGAAGTTTGTGGCTAATCTCTTTGTGAGTTCTTCTCGTACAAGATTAAAGAAAGTCTGGAGCCAAAAGCTTCTGGGTTCTGCTAAAAAGTATGTACAAAGATTACAGTCTGTTTAGCTCATGCCACGGGTCCAAATGCTGGGATTGGGTTTGTTTAGAGTGTTGTAACTACAAGGAGACATCTGTTGCTGCTGGAAGCTCCATTTGCCTCTCTCTTTTTGTGCTCTCCTGAACCTGTCTGACAAATAAAACTGGATTTATATTGCTGGAATAGTTATGTGATAGCATTTCTTACATGTCAATCTTTTCTCCTAGCCATGTTAAGTCCCATACAAGGTGCCTACTTCCTCATGTTTGGGAGTTTTTTTACATGTTCTTTAAGCCTTTACAGTATTTCCCCTCTTGAGCAGCAAAATGTTTACTACCTTTTCCCTAAATCTTAGTCTGTTTTTGCTTTTCAAGGGTCAATTCAACCTTTTTGTGGTCTTGAATTGGACATAGATTAATTTACTCTTTGGAAAATGAAATATAGATAATAGAAACTAGATGAAATGTACTACAGGCTGCAACTTTTTCCACTAAGAAATGACTACATAATTATTTTGAGAACTATAGCCAAAGATCTATTTCTTTCACTCTTGGGAAGAGAAACTGGACTAAGACCCTGGGACAAATGAAGTACTTTGTTAAATTCACCTGATGTATTTTCAGCCGCTACTGGTTAGAAACCAGTTTGTCTGTTGGCTTCTAATTGAGAACCACAGATGTGATGAAACTGTTGTTTGGAATAACTAAATTGTGAAGTACGAAGTCCATAATTGGAAACAAGTTGCATCAGAATTCTTATCCCTTAATAGTGATTCTTCTTCCTAATGCCTGAATGAGATAGCTTCTATTTTCTTGGTACTTTTATGTGCAATATTTTAGTGTTGAAGATATCTTATAGCCTGTTTGGCCAAAAGTGCTTTTTTTTTTGGCCAAAAGCACTTTTGGCCAAAAATTGAGGTGTTTGCCAAGCTTCTGGAAGGAAAAAAAAGTGCTTTTGAGGAGAAGCAGAAAAAAGTAGCTTCTCTCCAAAAGCACTTTTTTGAGAAGCACTTTTGAGAAAAATACACTTAGAAGTAGTTTTTTAAAGCTTGGCCAAACACTAATTGTTGCTCAGAAGTGCTTTTCAAACTAATTAGCCAAACACAAACTGCTTCTCACCAAAAGTACTTTTGAGAAAAGCACTTTCGAAAAAAAGCACTTCTCAAAATAAACTGATTTTTGCAGCTTGGCCAAACGGGCTATTAATATGGACATTCCTAGACTAGACTAAAGATGCAGTGCATATGATTACCTTCATTGTAGACTATAATTAGCTTACAAGATTTATTGGAACTAAATTATTGTTGAATTTTTCCATATCACAGGATGAGAACATGAGATTCCTTAGCAAAAATGACGAAGCTTTAGCACATTTGGTACTTGCAGGATCTGACATCATGCTATGCCCTTCTTTTGATGATACAGTACTCCAAGTACCGGTAAGTGGTTTCCGCAAAACTCTATCCTTCGCAATCATTGTGTCAACTAACGTGGAAATAGAAATGAAAAGCTATTTTAATTGAAAGAGAAAAAAGAGACCACCACGTACCATGGGGTTATGACTTATGCCCCCACCCCCCACCTTCCTACTGCTAACTCAAAAGGAGTAAATAGGAGTTGTTTGGAAGCCTGAAGCCTTGTCTTCAGGTTACAAGGAGAGACCAACAGCTAAAAGCATAAGCCTAACCCAATCATTACTGAATGGGACGTGACGCCCTTAAATACTCGGAAGGCTTATTACCAACTTCCAGTTTATCTTAATGATCCTTTGTTCCAGAAAAAGATCACAATGGGACGAATTTTGCAATACGCCTCTTGGAACTGGCCTGAATTTCATTAAATAATCCACATGCTTATCATGTTCTTGCAAGCATGTTGGATCGCTGATTTAGATGTCTCTCAACACTCTAGCGTATATATCTGCCTTGAGAAATACTGAAACCTTTTATTATGAAAAGGAGAAATAAGTGTTGCTTCTGACGGTTTCTTTCTTGATTTGCATTAACCTCCAGCTGTGTCAGCATCCGTCACATTGCCCACCGAAGAACTAAAACATTTGATTTCAGCCCTTTCATAAGCCTTATCTAAGAGACCGCAAGACGAGAATTACAATTTGTTGGGAAGCGTGTCAAGCTAATAGAAGGGAAAAAATATTTAAAAGAGAAAAGCAATAAATTGCACGAGACAAGACAAGATAAGATTTACGTGGTTCGACAATTTTTGCCTACTCCACGACCACACAAAGAATAACTCTATTAATTGAAGAGAAAGAAGAGGTTGAGAGATGATTTACTATTAAAGAAGGGGATCCCTATTTATAGGCAGAACGTTTTTTTCAGCGAATGTGAATACGATGAGGACGGCACCGCAAGTTGCGCGCCGAATTCTTCTTTCACATTTGCAGCCAGCCTTTCATGACTCTTATTTCTTTCTATCTCTTTCTATCTTTCCTTTCTTTCTTTGTCTTTGACTTTTTTATTTTGCTCATATGGGTTTGTCCCATCAATCTCCCCCTCAAACCCATATACATCAAAATAGAAATTTTTTAAAAAAAGATTTACTATTCTCTAATGGCACCTTCACATTATCAATCTTGAACGCTAACTGAGGCAGTGCACAGCCTTAGTTTGTCAACACCGACAACTTTGGTCAACATGTCTGACGGGTTCTTTGATCCTGGTATCTTCCATAGGAAAAGAGTTTCTTCACTTATCAACTCTCGCATATGATGATATCTCAGCTGGATATGCTTCGATCTTACATGAAACACTGGATTCTTGGCAAGATGAATTGCACTTTGGCTATCGCTGAAAAGTTCACAATTGTCCTGCTTTTTACCTAGCTCTTTAAGAATTCTTGAGCCAAATCATCTCTTTTCTAGCTTCTCAGATTGCCATGTACTCTGCTAGTGGTGGGCATAAAAACCGATAAACCGGAAAACTGAACCGTACCGAACTAATTTGGTTCTTCAGTTTCGGTTCTTCGGTATTCGGTACGTTATTCGGTGTTAGTATATTAATATTTCGGTACTTTGGTTCGGTCCTCGGTGTTCGAGTATCGATATTGCGGTTTTTTGGTAATACTGAAATACCGAACTTTTTAAGTTAATACCTAATTCTTCTGAGTGCTCAAGCTTGCAGCTTCCCTTGATGTTGGATTCCACATCATTAGTCCCATAAATAATTGACTCATCATGAGGAGGTTTTAGATGACTCTTGATATCTTTGTATTTATTTTCTTATAATATTCAAAATGGCTCTTTTCAATTCTATGTGAGTCCTCTTATTATTTTTGTTTTTCTTATGAGTTTGTCTTCTGCTTGTGGCCTCTATACTTGGCTTGTACTCTCTCTTAGTCTCTTATTGTCAACGATTATGTTTCTCCTTTTTTCTTCCTTTCCTGTTCTATTTTGTTATGGTAGTCGTTACGGTAACGCTAACAACTACTAGAACTTCCTAAAAGAGAGTCCCAAGAGCAGAAAATGGAGGTTGCCAAAAGGTTTCAAATATCAATACCATGGAAGTACAAAACAGTAGTATTTAAAAAGATCCATTAATGTATTAAACCGAAATCGTATCAAACCAAATAAGAAATACCGGACCGGACCGGACTATTTTGGTACGGTATTTGGTATGCAAAGTTGATAAACCGAATACCAAAGTATCGAACCGAAGTCCTTAAATACCGTACCAAAGTACCGAATGCTCACCCCTATACTCTGCTTCAGTGGTAGATAGAGCCATTTTTCTGAAGTCTGGACATCCAGCTAACAACAGTACCACCCAAAGTGAACACGTAGCCTGTGGTACTTTCGACTATCCGGATCGCCGCTTGAATTTGCATCAGCAAAACCTTGTAAGATAATATTGCTCGTTTTAAAACAAAGTGCCATACTTGAGGTGCCTTTAAGATATTGCAATATCCATTTTACACCTTCCCATTGCTCCTTTCCTGGATCTGACATGTATCTACTAACAACTCCAACTGCATGGGCTATGTCAGGTCTAGTACAAACCATAGCTTGCATCAAACTTCATACTGCTGAGGCATATGGAACTTTGGACATGTACTTCCTTTCTTCATCTGTCTTTGGTGATTGGTCCTTTGACAGATTAAGATGGCTTCCGAGTGGAATGCTTCTGGTTTTTGCATCATGAAGACTGAACCTGCTTAGTACCTTTTGTATGTACTTTTCTTGAGATAACTTTAAGGTTCTTCCGACCTGTTTCTGCTTATCCTCATTCCAAGCATTTGCTTAGCTGGTCCTAATTCTTTCATTTCAAACTCCCCCGCTAGTTGTTATTTAACCATGTTGATCTCATTTATGGTATATCACGCAATTAGCATATTATCAACATACAACAGTAAAATAATATAGGATTCATCAAGATTTTTGATAAAACATCAATGGTCCATCTCACTTCGTGTGAAACTATTATTATGCATGAACCCATCAAATTTCTTGTACCATTGTGGGGGAGCTTGTTTCAAACCATACAAATTCTTCTTCAACTTACACACAAGGTTTTCTTTACCAGAAACTTGAAAACCTTCAGGTTGCTTCATGTAGATGTCTTCTTCAAGGTCACCAAGCAAGAAAGCAGTTTTAACATCTAGCTGCTCCAAATGCAAATTTTCTGCAGCTACGATACTTAGCACCAACCTGATAGTAATTAATTTGACTACAGGAGAGAAGATCTCGGTGTAGTCAATTCCTTCCTTCTGTTGAAAGCCTTTTACTACTAATCGTGCTTTGTATTTCTTCTTACCATCACACTCTTCCTTGACCCTGTACACCCACTTATTTTGCAATGCCTTATTTCCTTTTGGTAACTGTGTAAGTATCCATGTTTTATTCTTTTGAAGAGAATTACCTCTTCTTTCATGGCTAGCTTCCAATTATCAGAGTTTATCACCTGCATTGCTTCAACAAATTATTTTGGTTCTCCAGCATCAGTTAGAAGTAAATAGTGGAGAGAGAGAGTTAACCTATCTGGAGCATTCGTGACTCTTTTAGATCTCCTTAATGTAGGTTCAGGAGTAACTGATCCCGAATTTGATTCAAGTCCTGACTCCAGATTTGGTTCTGCATCTGATTCTATCTCTGGTTTTGGTTCTGGTTCTGATCCAGATCCGGCTTTTGGTTCTTCATCTTCAAATTCAGAATCAGTTGCAATCCCTCTGGCCCCTTCATTTTATGATATTTCATCTAACTCAACTGTTTCAGATGTCTGTTTGCTAGTGCTGGTTGGTTCTACTTCAAGCTTGTCCTTGTACATCACATTTTCATTGAATGTGACATTCCTGTGTCTTAAGATCTTTCTATTTTCATCATCCTAAAATCGATAACCAAAATTATCATCACCATAGCCAATAAAGAAACATTTCTTGGCTTTAGGATCAAGCTTGTATTTATCATTGGAGTTTACATGTACATAAGCAACACAACCAAAGATTTTTAGATGTGCGAGAGTTACCTCCTTTCCTGTCCAGGAATTTCAAAATTCAGTGGTACAGAGGGTCCCCTGTTTATGAGGTAAGTTGTCGTGTTAACATCCTCGGCCCAAAAATACTTCGGCAATCCAGAATGTATTCTCATACTTCTTGCTCGTTCATTCAGGGTTCTGTCCATTCTCTCTACAATACCATTTTGTTACGGTGTTCTAGGAACTGTCTTGATCATTTTGATCCCATTCTTGGAGCAAAATGCTTTGAACTCTTGACTATCATACTCTCCTTCATTGTCAGATTTCAGACGTTTTAACTTTAGGCTTGTCTGATTTTCAACTTCAGCTTTCCATATTTTAAAGGTAACAATCACATTAGATTTATTTTTCAGAAAATAAACTCATATCTTTCTCGTGGAATCATCAATGAAGGTGACATAATAGCGTGAGCCTCCCAGAAAAGTTACATGTGCTGGTCCCCACACATCCGTATGCACTAGTTCCAACTTTTCTTTCTTTAGCGTCCTCCCCGCCTTTGAGAAACTAACTCTTTTTTGTTTCCCGTAATTGCAATCTTCGCACAAACCTAATTCTAACATGTTTGAGGTTTGACAACTTTTCTTTGGATGTCAACAAATTCATTCCCTTTTCACTCATAAGCCCAAGCCTCCGGTGCCACAATGTTGTGTCACGACCATGATCAACTGTTGCAATAGTATCTCTCTATATTGCAGTTGCATACAGTGTTCCCTTCCTGAAGCCTCGTGCCACAACCAAATTTCCTTTGGTTATCTTCCACGATCCGTTATCGAATGTTGTTGTATATCCTTCACTATCACGACCCAAATCCACGTGACCGACACCCCGCACACTACCCGACCCGAGCGAACCAACCTATATGTCAAACCAAATATAATTATGGAAGCCAATTGAAAATCTTGTACATTTTTAAATCAAGTCATAGAATTTTTTTTTATTTCCAAAGTCTTACA